CCATTAATTTTTCATCTGTTATCCATGGATTGTTAACCTTTTTTCTTCTTTCAATATTTTTCTTTGCTGATTTAATTATTTCTTTGTCCTCCCGTAGTTCATTTGGTTCAGGTATAGTGGTGGTGTTGGTTTCTGTATCCTTTTAAACCTTAGTTTCATATCTATTATGAGTAGTTGGTGATCTGAGTTGCAATCTGCTCCAGGTATAATTTTAACATCTTTGATACTAGAATTCATGCAGCTGATGGGAGAGAGAGACGTATATATGTGTGCGCGAGCACGCGTGTGTTTATATGTTTATGTATATATGTATGTATGGCTGATATGCAGCTGCTGCGGCTGAAGATGCTGAAGGATAGGCAGTTGACCGCGAGCGGAGGCTGACCCCGATTGGAGGAGGCTGACTTTAAGCGAATCCTGCCATCCGAGGCTGACTCTAAATTGAGCCCAACCCCGAGCGGAAGAGGCTAATTCTAAACAGAGACTGACTATGGAGAGGATAACCCCGGCCGAAGGAGGCTGACCCCAAACTGAGGACAAAATGGTCGTCTCAACGCTGGACTGATAGTTTAATTTGATATTCCTTCTACAGTATTCGACAATGATTTTGTCTCCTAACCACTTGTGAATATGTCGTTATCTACATGAGTCAAGAGACTCACAATCAGTTTCCATGCCCATACACCCTAAGGTGTGAACTCCAGAATATGTGATATTGCTCACTTGAACTCAACTCTTGCCCTTTGAAGCAGTTTCCAGCACATGACCTTGAGCCGTTTCGCGATTGGCTGAAGGCGGGAGCGTAAGCGTCTCGCGTGCTATATGAGAACCGACCGCCGTCGTTTGGCCACGGTTGCCTGTGATTCCCGACGGATATGAAGACCCTGGTGAGTATTGGATTTATTTGGGCGAAACTCAGTGTAGTCGATTCACTGAATTTCAATGTTTAATAATTTCATGAGGAGTGCACAAATATAACATCAGGGTTTAGTGTTGAAAGAGAAGGCTCACATAGATTTAAATCTATTTCATTTATAGAAATTTATGTAAAGACAAAGGGCCTCCATGGTCTTTAGACATGAATTAACGTGGAAATTAAGACTTTGCAGGCCATCGCTGTTGCCCTCGTGGCGTTTGTCGCTGTCAGTGTCAGCGGTGATCCTGAAGCTGATGCTGAGTCCAGCCGCTATGGAGGCGGCTTTGGAGGCCATGGACTCGTGTCCTACAGACCCGTGTATAGCAGCTACGGATACGGACGCTGGAAGAGGAGTGCTGAGGCTGAGCCTGTAGCTGAGGCTGAGCCCGAAGCTGATCCTTCCCGCTTCGGATATGGGTATGGCGGCAATGGACACGTGTCCTTTAGTCCTGTGTACAGCAGCTACGGATACGGACGCTGGAAGAGGAGTGTCGAGGCTGAGCTCGGATTCCGTTTCGGTCGCGGTTTTGGAGGTCACGGTCGCTTCGGAGGCTACAGGGGCTATGGAGGCTACAGTAGGAGCTTTGGAGGACATGGCCGTTTCCATGGCTGAAAGAAATGGTACGAGAAAGATGAATAAAACTGAGCAACTTCATTTTAAATTTCCTTTTTCTTTACACACTCGAGACATAATAAAGAATCCAGTTTGCATACATAAACAGAGTCATGCATTAGAAAATTAGGAGTCACAACATCGGAAATCGGGACTCCTGTAACGAAAAGAAATATAGAAAGAATGAATGTGTGCACATCCTTTTATGAAGTTGAAAAGGTATTGATTTACAAATTCAAGAAAATGCTAACACACCAAAACACATACACAAAAATGATTATACATAAATAGCTGATCGCAAGCGGTGATCCTGAAGCCGATGTTGAGCCAGAGGGTGATCCTTCCCGTTTCGGGTACGGATATGGCGGCTATGGACACGTATCCTTCAGGCCCGTGTACAGCAGTTACGGTTACGGACGCTAGAAGAGTGCTGAGGCTGAGCTCGGATTCAGCTTCGGTCGCGGCTTTGGAAGTCACAGCAGCTTTGGAGGCTATAGTTTTTTTTTTCTTCAGACATTCACTATTTCAGTTACTGTATGTGACACATACACATAAGATGTATACAAATCTAGCTTACATACATATAAAGTTAACATTATTCAAACATTAGAGAATTAGGTCACAGCCGCTTCGGAGACATGGAGGACATGGTCGTTTCCATGGCTGAAGAATTTTGGTTCCAGAAAGATTAATAAAAGTGAGCAATTACATTTATAATATTTTTCTTTACACACTAGCTATCTCATTTGTTGTATACTGTATGTATATTATCATTTCGTCATATTACAATATGCTATTTGTCATCATGCTATGTCGTTATGTTTCATAGTTAAAAGTCTCTATACTCATCGTCAATCTGAAGAGAGAGGCCTCTGTTTACATCACACGTGGAAGATCGCGGCAGATGTTCTGTACACTATATCCAAGTTTAAATAACCCAGGACACAAATTAACTCTTTCCATTGAACCTATGTGATATGTGAACATACATGGCGCAGTGCAGTGTAATTTTCCAGTACTGCATTGCCATCTAAGAGACTATCATCTAGGCAATATCTACAGAGATCGGCATCTGTAGCCATCTGCTTCAAATTTACATAGAAAGCATCAAATTTTTTACCATGAGCATGACGAACGAGTAAATTGCTGGTGGCATAGTGTTTGGTTTCTTTGTAGGCTCACGTGGCTGTCAATAAGACGAAGGTGGTCACTGATAGGCATTGTATCATTGATCGTTATCTGGTAGTATGCATACAAGCCCTTGATATTTCTCCATCTCTTCAGCAAGTGGCAAACAAGTCATGAAGCTGCACGGAAAAGCAACGCAGAACTCCCTACTTGTGCAGAACTTAACAAGCTCACAAAATATAGGGAACTCTGTCTCTGTCTCGCCAGAGAAGTGATAAAATCATCCCAACAAGAACAAAAAGACATGTTTTGGATGTGGTGACAAATCTCGCCATTCAGAAGAAAAATGCCCAGCCAAGGGTATTGAACGTAAGAAATATCATAAGACATTTGTCAAGCAAATGATATGTCAAGGAAACAAATTTGGCATGAGCATGACGAACGAGTAAATGCTGGTGGCATAGTGTTTGGTTTCTTTGTAGGCTCACGTGGCTGTCAATAAGACGAAGGTGGTCACTGATAGGCATTGTATCATTGATCGTTATCTGGTAGTATGCATACAAGCCCTTGATATTTCTCCATCTCTTCAGCAAGTGGCAAACAAGTCATGAAGCTGCACGGAAAAGCAACGCAGAACTCCCTACTTGTGCAGAACTTAACAAGCTCACAAAATATAGGGAACTCTGTCTCTGTCTCGCCAGAGAAGTGATAAAATCATCCCAACAAGAACAAAAAGACATGTTTTGGATGTGGTGACAAATCTCGCCATTCAGAAGAAAAATGCCCAGCCAAGGGTATTGAACGTAAGAAATATCATAAGACATTTGTCAAGCAAATGATATGTCAAGAAAACTATTAGCAAGACTCCAGGCAAACTTGGCTCCAAATCTGCTACTGCTAATAGTGCAGCAATTGGAAATATCTCACATCAACTTATTGCCCTCCTTGCCTAAACGTCCAGTTCCAAATCTCTAGTTCCATGTCACACTTGACACAGGATTTGAAATCACCGCTATAGGATCTGAACAACTCCCAAATGCATTACTTTCATGGCACCATGCACAAGGCTTGGCTACTATTCATAATTACCCTAGTTCCTGCCACGAGATCTCTCCCAGAATTTCACCTGTGGCATCCGCAACCTTGCCAATATCAGAGTCCAAAATCAAAAAGGCTTTCACTCAACTCCTTAAGGTCTTCACAGACGTACTGTTGCGAACTACAGACGTTCAAGAATGGCGGACAATTTCATGAAGTAAAAGGACCA